TGGCACACAGTCCCTTTCTTAAAGAGGTAGGATGGAAAGGTGTTAAGTATCTTTCTCCCAAACCCAAATAGTTGTCCGAGGAATGAGCACATGAAAATAAGAGAATAAACAATGCCTTCTAAAGTGTGGGGTTGCAGGGCTAGGTAGAACCTGACAGGTCAGCAACAGGTTTGTCTAAGCCAGAGGAGGTGGTGGGGTAGGCTGGGCCTCCCTGGATTTCCCTGTAAGGAATGATGGGGAGAGGTGGGGATGAATGAAGTAACCTCCTGTGGCCTGCCCATGTACTGTCACTGGACTGCCAAATCAGTGGAGATTCCTAGAGTCTGGGTTTCTAATCTCAAAGGGAGGAGAAGGCATGAAATCAAGGGAGGAGAGAACTCAGGGCCAGAACCCAGGGATGCAGGAGGAAGCTGTCAGTAGGGAGAGCAGCTAGGGTTTAGGGGAGCAGGTTATGCAGGAAGTTGTCCAGGTAGAAGGTTTCCCTATGAAGACCCTCTTCCCCCAAGAATCCTTCAGGAACCCTCAGAACCCCAGTGATCTCCATTCTCCGACTTCTTTGATTTATTCCCTTAACTTCTCCACTGAGTGCTTGGTCCTATGCTGCCAGATACCACTTCATAATTCAGTCTTACATGAGTCTCCCTAGTTAGTCCTCCCTCTTTTTTTTTTTTTTTTTTTTTTTTTTTTTCTTTTTTTGAGACAGAGTCACTGTTGCCAAGACTGGTGTGCAGTGGCGAGATCTCATCTCACTGCAACCTCCACCTCCTAGGTTCGAGTGATTCTCCTGCCTCAGCCTCCCAAATAGTTGGGACTATAGGCATGAGCCATCATGCCTGGCTAATTTTTGTTATTTTTAGTAGAGACAGGGTTTCACCATGTTGGCCAGGCTGATCTCAAACTCCTGACCTCAGGTGATCCTCCCGCCACTGCACCCAGCCTAGCCCTCCCTCTTTCATCCATTACTTGGACATCTAGCACTTACTTCTTTCTGCCTTAGAGTCTAGCTGATTGTTTATATGTCTGCTTTTTCCATTCATCAGGAAGCTGCCTAGGGGTGGGAACCATGTCTTAGTCATATCTCTTCCCTCAAATTCAACCAAGATGCTCTAAATATGCTGAGGTAGACTCCTTGGGGACAAGCAACTATATCAGTTTGTATCCTCCACCATACTGAAGAGCTTCCTATGCACATAGTAGGGATTAATAAACTTTGTAATTTTAAGAAGTCTAGCCAGGCGCGGTGGCTCACGCCTGTAATCCCAGCACTTTGGGAGGCTGGGGTGGGCGGATCATGAGGTCAGGAGATCGAGACTATCCTGGCTAACATGGTGAAACCCCGTCTCTACTAAAAATACAAAAATTAGCCAGGCGTGTTGGCGGGTGCCTGTAGTCCCAGCTACTAGGGAGGCTGAGGCAGGAGAATGGTGTGAACCTGGGAGGCGGGGGTTGCAGTGAGCTGAGATGGCGCCACTGCACTCCAGCCTGGGCTACTCCGTCTCAAAAAAAAAAAAGGGGGGGACTAACAGAAGAGAATTTCTATGCCATTTCTGTCTTTTGAAATATCATTCATGCCATACCAGTGGAATGGGAAATCCTGGGGCTTGCTTTTAATTAACAACTTTTTTTCTAGACTAAGAGAGGAGAGGTGGGAGGAAAAGGAAAAAGAGTGATTCAGCTGTCTGGACAGAGCCACAGATAGAGTCCTGCAAGTGTCACAGCCCCAGACTATCCAGAGGAGTCTCATTGTCTTTGTGGCACTATGAAACATTTTTGGGACAGGCTTTGTCTAGCAATCAGATTTAGTGGATTGACCTTGCTCATTGGGAGCCACTTAGGGCTACTTAGAAGAGAGGTGCATCTCAAACACTGTCTGCTCAGTCCAGGGCCACTGACAAGTCAGCTGGTCTGTGAATTCTAGGGCCTGCGTCAGCATTCAATAAAATGCTTTGAACTTTTACCAGGAAAGGCACACAACTTCAAGTGAAGCCAAAAATCATGTGTTTGTTTGTTTCTCCTTCTGATTAGTCTGATAATCAACTGAGCCTTTACCATCATGGGAACAAAAATACTCAGATTATCTGACAAGCATCTTAGTAACTATTTTCTGATGGTAACTTGTATATGTGGATGATGAATCCTTAGTATCTCTTGTCTTTGATTGTGTCCTCCCGCCCTCCCCAGGAGGGTGATGGTAGGGAGGGCTAATGATCTCTGGAGAAGAAAGAGACAAAGCTTCCCAATACCGGCCTGGGAAGGAAGATTTATTAGGATTGGCCTCCTAATAAAAAAGGAAATAGATACAGACTGGCTCTCAGACCTCCAGGGAGTCTCAGTATACTCATCATCAACAGGATAACTGAAAGCTGCCTCCTCTGGGATCCCACAAGCTCCTCCTTTCCACCTGCTTCTGGCGTCTCACTGTCGCCGCCTGTGAAAGGTCCTTCTACTCTTATAATCTACTGAAATGATACTTCTCTTCCTCAAGACCACTTAACTGTGGTCACAACTGATTGCTCCCTCCATATGCACCTCAGTGCTTCTTTCAGACTCAGCCTCATTACGTGTGATGATGCCTTCCTTGTACACAGATGTCTGTGTTCCTAGCCCCATGGGGACACCCTGTGGAAGAGAAAACACTTGCCTCCTGGGAGTTTCTAGTTCAAGAGGGGCACACGTGCATACACACAACACACACACAGAAAAATAGCAGTGGGATAAGTACTGAAAATCTGGTGGAATACCAGCAAGTAAATTATGAGAATGTATGTATTTTATACATATCTGGGTTTTTGTTGTTAATTAGAGCCATTTTCAAGTAGAAAAGCCATTTCACATCTGAGTTTGTTTGTTTGTTTGTTTGCTTGTTTTGAGACAGTTTCCCTCTGTTGCCCAGGCTGGGGTGCAGTGGCATGATTTCGGCTCACTGCAACCTCCATATCCTGGGTTGAAGCGATCCTTCTGCCTCAGCCTCCTGAGTAGCTGGGATTACGGGCATGCGCCACCATGCCCGGCTAATTTTTGTATTTTCAGTAGAGATGGGGTTTCACCGTGTTGGTCAGGCTGGTCTTGAACTCCTGACCTCAAGTGAGCCACCCACCTTCGCCTCCCAAAGTGCTGGGATTACAGACATGAGCCACCACGCCCGGCCTCACATTTGATTTTGAGGGAAAGAAGGAACTATCTTCGGCTTAAAAAGAGTCAACATGACCCTGACTCCTGGAACATGCCAAAGAGGGAAGAGTGGACAAAGTGCTAGGCTACTGGAGTCCTTTCCCTAACTCACTGGTAGTGACTTCCTCTCTGACGAATGGAAATCATTTACCCCCTAAGAGCCTGTGGGGGAATGAAAGGTAATAAAGATGCTGGTGGCCAGGCACGGTGGCTCAAGCCTGTAATCCCAGCACTTTGGGAGGCCGAGACGGGCGGATCACGAGGTCGGCAGGTAGAGATCATCCTGGCTAACACGGTGACACCCCGTCTCTACTAAAACACACACAAAAAACTAGGCGGGTGAGGTGGCGGGCCCCTGTAGTCCCAGCTACTCAGGAGGCTGAGGCAGGAGAACGGGGTAAATCCGGGAGGCGGAGCTTGCAGTGAGCTGAGATCTGGCCACTGCACTCCAGCCTGGGCGACAGAGCAAGACTCCGTCTCAAAAAAAAAAAAAA